TTTCTGCATGCATGCATCGTGGCTAAAATGCAGCTAAAACAAAGGGTAAAAAAGAATGAATTTATGTTGCTACAAACAGATACATGGTTAAACGTGTAACAATTAATCTTTCGATAATCATCCACATGGGATGAACATTAGAGATAAATAAAGAATCTTTTGCTTAAAAGAATTAAACCCAACGGACAAAGATAAGAAACGATCAAGAGAAAAAGAGGAAAAAAGGAGAAAAGAAGGAGGATATTCAGCACAAGATCGAGATCTATTCTTTGTCGACACAGCGAAAACGAGGGCGAATCTCGACTGACTGGACGGAACACATTTTCGGTCGCGGAACCTAGTTCCCCAGGATGTTGGTCTCAGGTATAGTAAGAAACGGAAAAATGTGTGACCGGATTGCGAATAAGCGCGATGAATGGAGCATGAATACTGGGACGAGAATTTGTTGGACAAAACGTTGTTCTTCGAATGCGACATGTATCTTCCGGGGAAGAATGGTTCGAGAAGAAGTCTCTGCCGGAAACTAGACGGGCGAGCGAGGTGAATGTTTAGAATCTGAACTGTGTACAGTTAATGGAGAGCCCCAACGTTCTTTTAGACGAAACCTGCAACACTTTTAGCGCAGCCTTTTACCAAACTGCTGAAGCTTGAAGATATATATTCGCGAAGGAAGCTCGCAGCATCGTTCCAAATAAAGTGCGCGTTAAAAGGGATGCGATCCGAGAGGGAAATTGGCGCTGTTCGTTTTTTTACTTTACCTTTTTACTCTATATATTAGATTACCGTAGTTGCGCAGCATCGCTCCTGTTTGACGAAAAGAACCGCGGTCTATCCGTTTTATATCTCTTTCCTTCTCTAGCACGAGAAAGCGGGGATCTTTTCAAGGCAAATATGCGGATGGAGAAGAAATTAGTTGAAGGTGCATTAATTAAGCCGCTCTGAAACCGCTACTAATATTTACCTACCGGAGTCGTCGATGCGACTTAACCGTGCTTTCTTCATCGTAATTAACTTCGAAGAACTAATTAATAGGGTAGAATATTAGTCGGAATGCCTTAATAATATAATCGGTTAGTCGAAAAGTAAATGTTGCGCATGTGCAACAGACATATTATTAAGACATCAAGTATTCCAACCGGTTTTATACTTCGTTTTGATTCTGCCGCTTGGATTCTGTGTTCAGCCATCCGGATAGGTTTACAATCTTTCGGTATATTTCCGGAATAGAAGCTACATGATGCAACTGGGTCGCTGCGAGGTCCTTTCATGCGAGGTCCTTTCATTGTCAGTCAAGATAAACCGGAGCCAAGGCGCTCGCAAAGACGCAGTATTAAGCAATACAACGTGCAAATCCCGACGATCTAGTTTTAAATGCGTAAATCATCGCGTACTCGGCATTTAATATCATGAAAAGTATAAATAATTTTGATTTGATTTCTCGGTATTTACTTTGTATAACGTAATATCTTTTCGTCAGCAAATTAAATGACATTCTTCTCGATTATGTATCATCGTAACAGCTCGCGAGATTATTTGCAGCGCGTTAAATTGCGAAACACATAAATAAATGTGATTACTGTAAATTTAATCAGCATCCGATTTCAATTAAATATCACCCGTGAAAATAAAATCTCTTAACTTCTCTTTAGAGATGTCGCTATACATTGTATTGGTTATTTGAGCACCTTGACGAGAAACTCATTTATTCCCAAAAGCGATATCGCGCTCAAATGCGGTCTTTAATCGAGATAAAACTCGGAGGGGAATCGATGGTTTCCAAAAAGCGACGTGTAATCTCGTTGGTTTGATCTACTCCATGATTGCATCACGTGCAAAGCGCCGGAGACAAAAGTTTTCTTCTTGTCCTTCTTCTTCTTTACGAAGAAACTCACAAATATTTATAGAGGAGAACTTGGCCCATGGGAAAGAGCAGAAGGACGTAACGATCGAAAGAATCTAAAGTAAATCGCCATTCTCTATTCCAATGTGACTTTACGAAGCGTATAAAATGTACATTTGCCTACGCGGCAGAAAGTTCAATGAGTAATAATCGGGATCAGCTGATGCTTGTCTCCACTTGGTCCCTCGATCTTAATAAGCTTTCTGAGATTTAGCGACTTTAATGGAATTATTATAATCTTCTACTCGAGGAGACGAACGAATCAGAATTGCTTTATCACCGTAATTTTCGCTGTCATTCTCGCTTCAGATTAAAATGATTCTGTTGAAAACATCATGAAATTCGTTCGCGTATTCAAAACCATCTATTCGATTGAAAAATCCGCCAAAAACATCTCGGAATCTACTCGCGTAGAATGAAATCCGTGAAATGTATTCAACTAAAAAATCTGACGAAACATCTTGAGATCTAACGGCATAGATTGAAATATAAAATCCCGGATGTGTCCGATTGACGAAAAGAAAAAAATATACTTTTTTTCGCGAAGCAAGTTTGCGACCATATATATTATATCCTGCGCTTGTACGATTTATACGACAGTTATACGACTTTTCTCTACGAGTTTCTCCATTCGGTTAGAATGTCGAAATACGCTCGTCTTTCGAGAATGCGAGGTCAGCGTGAATTAGATTCAGTATTCCGTAAAATCAAAAGCTTCGTACGTTCTTCACGAGTGAATAGGGTCGGACGGTGACTACAGTCAACCGATCTGGTCTAGTAACCCGGACAAATACCAATGGTACTTGTAAGGGAACCGATCGAGTGCATTTTTGGTGAAGTCGGCACTTCCATGTTTCCCAGTATAACCTTACTCCTCACTATCTTTTCAAGATAAGGTATCCGTTCATATATATATCATTGCGATTCTATCTCTTTACGAACTTTTCTTTCTTAGATTTATCTTCTTCATTGGAAAACTTTTGCAGACTTTCGATAAATTCCGCCCGCGTCTTTAGATATTCTTTAAGTGCCTATTTTTCTCATAGACAAAAGATTATTTGTGTATTTTTCGTGTGTATGTTTACGTTGAACTATCCAATCTCGTTAAAAAAAATCCGAAACCTTGTGCCTTTATTACGAGAGTTTTAATCGATCAAATTTAATGGTAACTAATATAATAACTTTATACGTATTGCAGGATGCATTTTTCTTGCAACACTAGTTTAGAAAATCGCGCTGCATTAAATAGAGTATTTTGTGTTAATCTTGATTTATCCATAGTTTAACGTAAAGTGAAAGGTACATGTACGATGGGCAAATGCATTATTCATAAAAGAATATCTTCATTGATAACAAGCAAAAAAACGTAAAGCTTTATGATTCTTTCATCTTTCAGCATTTTGCATAAAATTCCTTAAAATTAATGTATAATCTGGATTAAATGTTTTTATTATTTCGATATTATCGAGATTCAATAAATCTTAAATCTATCAATTATCTAATTAAAAAAAAAAAAAATTTAAATATATGGTGCAGTTTTTCCGCCAAAGATCAATTCTGATCATTTTTTTTATTTCTTTATATTAATTTATCTTATTCACTTTGATCTATAAAATATACGCAACGAAGAAATTTTAGAAATAAAATAAGTTAAGAACTACCTTCTCACATTTTCTTTCGGTGACAAATGAAATAAAATAATACCAGTTTATGCTGTGAAGTTTCGCTCTAAGCGGCACAAATATTGTATGCAATTTTTGCTCGAAGTATTTATCGAATTTTTTACGTATATATGCAAACGTACTTCACTGCCACTTTCATGGCATTTGCATTTCGCGCGCAGGGATATCGTGTGAAGATTTTCTTTATTTTTTACCTCGCATCCTCCCACCTGTCAGTTTAAATAACCGCATTATATATACATAGCCACGAGTATTAAAGGATCGATGTCATCGAGTGCTTTATACATTTTTCACATTCGATGGTAGGTAAACGTGTCGGAAATTTCGATGAGGGGTAAGCAACATGGGATCGAAATGTATTTTATTATCGGAGAGATCGGAGAATTGCACTCTTCGAAAACCTTGAGCTCAGAACTTCGGGTTTGCTCCCTATTTCATGATTATCTCGAATCAAATTTTTCGTAAATCCGATATATATATAATTTATTTGCTCGTTTACTTATTTAATATTTATTTATTATTTCTTATGCAGAGCAAATCCTCTCAAGCGAGAAGAATATATACAACTCACATCCAAAGTAATAAGATCGTATTAATGTAATTGCAGTGAATAAAATAAAAAACATGTCAACAAAGTAAAATAAAATAAAAAACATGTCAATGAAGCAAAATAAAAAATTGTTTAAGAAATTGTAATAATGAAATGACTTTGAAGAAGAATAGAGATATAATCATAAAATAATCTTGAATATTCCAGATTTAAGGAGTTTAAATGTATGCAAAACCTGACCGTAATTAATTTAAGAGAAATAAGATTATTTGAATATTTTTTTATTTCTAAAAACAATTTAATAATAAATTTTATGGACTCTCAGAAAATAAAAATTAAAAGTGATATACTCTTGATGATAAAAATGATCAAACGTCTCGCTATTCAACCATAAAACATCCGCGCAGCAGAAAACTTATTAATATGATGCATAAAGTATGCATAGAATACTCAAGTATTCACAGTGCATGTCGCTTGGCCATTACAAACTTTTGCATTCTGTGAACAATGTCATATCCTAAGGAGCCGTCAGAGCGTAATTTGCAAACTAGCTATCGTCTTATCTAAATCTCCCGCGAAAGAAGCAAGCTCTATCATCACATAAAAGGATGTTGGAGTAAATCCTCTCACTTGCTTCGTGTAAAGAAGAAGTTGACCGAAAACGATCTCGGTAATCCAATCGAAAAATCGCTTAGTCTGCGAGAAAATACGGATTACGGTCGATATTAGCGTGCTTTATCTACGTATGGCCATGATTAAAATTTATCTAACAATTGCGTGCATCAATCTAAGACAAAAAAGCAGCCAGCCACGCGAACCAGAAATTCAAATGAAACAAACAACGGGAAATTGCGCTCATTATACTCACCCGAAAGGCATCTCGCAATTCTTGCTCTTCTTGATCCTGATCCGAGGGAGCAGCTGTGTTTGCTCCGATGTTACTCACAATTTCGACAAATTCTTCGAAGCTGACATTTCCGTCACCTGAAAAACATCATCGTGATAAAACTATCTCAAAACCATTAATATGATAAAAATTAATCTTTTATTATATGTATAATCGATGATATGCTTAATGTGTACTATTCACGTATTATTTTAATTATTTATAGCTGAAGCAATAAATATGAATATAAGAATAAAATTCATATTAATATGTAAACAATTAAATCATCAAATAAATTGAATTACGATAAAGATATATTTTCTCAAAGATAATGACATTGAAAAGTGATATAGTAGATTTAAAAATGCTAATTTCAGAGATTATAAAACTGAAAGGAATTTAATACATATATATATATATATATATATATATATATATATATATATAATTTTTTTCTAGTAATTACTTTTTTACATAATCTATATAATCCATATAATCCATATAAGATTCTTCAGGATAAATTATAATGGTAGCAATAATTTTTTTACAATTTGTTTAATAAAATGCGTAATTTAATGGTGTAAAATACAGGAAGCTCTGATTGCACAGAAAGAGAAAACTTACTTCGTCATTTAAATGCAGAGCCAACATTTTCAAGTTCTTAGGAAAATTAGAAATCTTTTGAATAAAGAAATTAAATCATTCTTAATTTAGACTTTTTCTTAAACTTCCTTTCAGTTTCTTCTTCAGGTGAAGAAACTGATTCAATAGAAGATATAAATATAGTTGCATATTTTGTTGTTTTTTCTTCCGCTAGTTCCGTTAGTGTTAAATGTAACCATCCTATTGAAATGCGTTATATTGTACATTCATCCGCCCACTCACGTTGATCTGAACGCGAAAGATTTCCTTGGTATATTCCGGTAAAATAGCGATACAGTTTCCATTCTTTCAACGATTTTTATATCGCTATGCGCGGCATAATAAAAGAAGAGCACATAGCAATATTCACATAAAGGCATAAGGTAGGCGGGAGTGCAAAAATGAACGAATTTTATATCGTGAATAAAATCCTCGGATGTAAAATTTTTTTTTATCCGAGCGCGAAAAGCCGAACGTCTTCTTTCTCGTCGCTTATAAGAGAGTCGCTTATAAGAGTCATTTTCTGTACTGTAGTTAAATAAATTCTTAATGCGTTTTCTCGGCGTCAGGCGAACACTTAATTACGGTCTCTTTCTTTTTCTCGTTAAAACTTGGCATTAGTACAAGTTGTCTAAAAAGAGCCATTGTAATTCTTTAATCTATGATGTCGGTTTAATGAATATAAAAACTTTCGCTTTCTTCATCGTTATCTTAAAAGTAATTGAAACTATATGCTGATAGCTGCATTAAAACAATGAGTTAGAGTATAATAGAGTATACGAATAAAAAAGTGTACGAACAAAAACAACATTTTTAACAGAAATAAAAATATTTTTGTAAAATAAAGAGAGAATATATTTCGAGTTTTACATTTCATGTAAAAATTATTTTTACTGTAAAATTTTTTTTGTTTTGAAATATTTATTTATAGATGTGATCAGAACAAATAATATTAACATCTTAATACATAAGCGTGTAAAATAACTACACAATTCGCATATTTTTTATTTCGTAAAACATTTTCGTAACCATTTCTCTTTTCATTTCTGCAAACATTTTTTCCAATAAATAAATGCATTCATATATATTGTTTACTTTATATTATTTGAATCGCATAATATTTTTTATTGTTTTATATTTAATATTTTTTACTGTTATTTTAACGGCAAAAGAGAACAAAATAAAAATATACGAATTCGCAAACAAGTAATCGGACAGAAAGCGACAATCGTATCGATTGTGCCTGAGGAGAATCGAATTGGTGGATGACGAATATCTAGGGGAACTACTATAAATCACAATCGCGTGCGAACGAAATCTCTGAGCATCGCCTGCATCGAGAATTCCTGCTCGAACAATTCGATTGGCGCCGGCTAATTTGCATAATTTGACCGCCGCTTAAATAAACGCGCGATATACAGTTTACAATCCATTTCGCTTCTATCAGCCAATCCCAAACAAGTTAATTTCTGCGCAGTTGCAAATCCGCGTTAGTCATCACATGATTGTGCTTATAATGATGAAGTCAGGTATTGTTTATAACTATACGTATACAAATTAATCAAGAAACAGATTAAAAAGATTTAGAATTCAATTTAATTTAGATACCAATGCTATCATTTAAAAAAATTAATATTATAATATATATACATGCAAGTTATAATCCTTTTTTAAAAAAGTGATTTAATATATATTAGAAAACTTTATATTGTATAATGTAATTTTGATTAAAGCTTTTTTATTAGTGAAATTTAAAATCCAGTGTTTTTTTAGTTGATTTTGAAACAATTTTAATAGCATTGACACAAACATTTTGTTTAAACTAAAATTTTTATACAAAATGATGATGACGCAATTAATATACACAGAAAAAAAATATTTTGCTAATGGTTAATGAAATTAATAAATTTTACTGCAATTTTTTATTATCTTCTAAAATTGTATAATCTTATTTTTAATTATGCAATGTGTTCACAATCTAGTAAATAAAAATGCAATATCCAATGTTTAAATAAATAAAATCCACAAGTTTTAAATTATATATCATAAATGTGTTACAATCAGTATCTATCAAGATTTTTAGATACTTGCTGATTTTCTAACTTTCTCTGTAATTCTGTAAAGTTATCGCTGCCGAATACAATTCTATCCTATATTGTAGTCTATAAGTTCCTATCAGTAACGTTTGATTCAAAGGAAATATAAGATGCAGCCCTAGATTCCCACTCTACACAGTCGCAAAAAGATTGAAATGCGAGCCTTATTCGGTTATACAGTACATTTAACAATTGTCTTCAAATTTAAGAAATGCAATAATACAAATTCTCAAATATGACTAATATTCTTCTTTTTCACTTTTCGTCTACCTATTACTTTTTAGTTTGTAAATCTAGTATAAAACAGCAAAAATGCAGTGCTAGATATTACCTGCTAATTTTTCATACGTTTGAATCTGTTACTTACTAACGTTTTTGTGGAAGAAATCTCAAATCTTACTTATACCAGATAATTTTGACTTATATAATTATAGAAAATATTGAAAGCGTGCGTTTCGCTCTTATTTGCTTGAAATACGAAATGCATCGTGAAGGAAACATTCCCAAATACTCGTATGTATATGCGCATCGGGATAATCTCTCGCAATGATTTCCGATAAAGTTCACAAAACCGAGGAAGCGATCTCGTGCGCATCTCGTGGCGCGTGTCTCTTAAAATCCAAGTACTCATTTACAGCGAGCGCGAGATGAACGTCCCGTCATATTCCCGGATTTCTAGCTGTAGTCGAGCATCGTAGCCTAAGCGGATTTTAGCTAGGGATAACCGTCGGTGTAAACGGGATTTAGCCGAGGATAATGCCGAGGAGCGTCGCCTTGGGATTCTGCGACGCGCTACACCTATGTCGGTTCTATAAAAGCCTTCCTGCTCTCCCGCATGCAATTGCGACTCGCACGTTTGCATGTGCATGCGATGACACGCACACGGGTGCGAAACGCGCGAGATAGTTGACGAGTGTTTGCAGAACTAGCCAAGAGCGTGTAAACACGGCTATGCGATACGTTTTTACGCAGAGAAGGAGAACATAAAGTGTATTATAGTGTCGGCAAAACGTAAAGTATATTACGCTCGTTTGCGAATTCATCGGCAAAAATATTTCGCGCACGAACGAAGATAGGTTGAGATGCGCGAGGACAGTTTACGATGCGCGAAACGTGACTATTCCGCTTTTCGTTCTTTACTGCTTCCTTGCGTTGTTTTATTTATGTTATGTAAGTTGACATCTTCATTTGTGTAGCGGAATAAGATGTTCAACCTTCGGCGAACATCTTGTAAATTTTCTCATTGGTATCATAGAAATTATGCGATACATTTCGCACAAGATTTTTAAAAGAATAATCATGCTGCTTAATTTTTTTAAAATTGTATTATTACAAGGACGAAAAATTACCAAAAATTATACCTAATATCAACAGTACGATGTAGTTTTTCAAAAGTTGTACATTATTCTTAGGTATGATTATTATGTTCAAAATTATTCGGAATAAATGAGCGGACACATTTAATCGCCGCGAGAGAGATTATCCTGTCCGCAGAATCTCACTCTAGAATTAATCAATAGCGATTACCATCACTGATCTGTTCTACATAATTCGCGGTCCCATTTCCAGATAACCCATAGAACGGACAAGTGTAGGTGCTACTGTAAATGACACATATATACGTAGATACAGAGCAAGACCCGTGTGTAGCCCTCGGGCATTTTCTGATAGCGCGGATTCGTCGCGTGTATTATACCTCCATGTATTACATGCCCTACGTACGTACGTATGCGCGGACATACAAATCGACTGTGTGTTACGATACCGGGCCCGGGTCCGAGATTCCGGATAAATTCCATAGGCGTAACTCGAGCAGATAGGAGAGGAAGGGATTAGGAGATAGGAATCATGCCAGCTACTGTGCGCCTCGGAGAGGTGCCTCTCGGTGGATCAATCGGGTGTAATCCGATAAGAAGGCCACGATGTTGGCATATTACAAATGTCACAGTCACGTGTCCGGCATAGTCGAAAATACTTGGTTCAGTTTTTCACTACTGTACACGGGATAAATGCGTCGCTAAATGCAAAAAAAAAAACATGAATTAGCTTCGTTTTGCGAGAAAATTCGCTCTCATCTATCCGATTGCATCTATCATTTTTTTCTTGTTTTTTTTCTATTTTTTTTTAATTTTTTCCCCTGCCAATCCGTGCAGTCGTTAAAATTCTCATTAAAGCGCTCCGGTATAGCGATCACTTTACGTAAATCGTATGGCAGCTGCCTCTCTTGTGTCCGCCCTAACAGAAGCACAAGTTATATAACGAGCAATATTGCCGACGACGATAAACGAGTCTTCTTAAAAAAAAAAGAAGATAACATTTTATAGCTACACCTTCTCGCTTAGAGATGCATCAGATTGAAT